ACAAGGGGTCTCCCCCAAGAGGAGAAGAAAACTAATGAGAAATCTGTCAAACATCACAGCCAACATTTCACCCAGAGACATGGAGAATGGCAGCTGTGAGAGCAACACCCAGTACTGCCCTAGGGAAGGAGTTGTGTAGACGACGTGTTAGTAAAAGTGTTCAAAAGAGCGACTATTTTTTAAATGATGTGATGAAGTTATTCTTACTGAAGTAATCTGAAAGCCAAAAGAAAATTCCAGTGGTAGAATGGAGGCAGGATGAGTACCAAAAACAAGTACCAAGCAAATTGTTCCAGTTGGAGACTCGATAAGATGTGTGTGTTTTTTAATAAAATGGAGCACTACTCAGCCACAAAGAATGAGAAACTAGAGAGATTTATAGCTAAGTGGATGCACATCGCGGCCATACTCTTAAGTGAAATTAATAAGTCATGCATGTGTAAATAGCAAATAGTTTCTCTGGTGTGAAAAACTAGAAGTGTAAATAAGGATCAAAATGTATAACTGATTATGCATAATAGGAAGAAAAGGTCTAAAAGAGTAGAGCAAGTGGGAGGGGTAGGGAAAAGGTGAAAAGGGAAAAAGAAAAAATATGTGAAAAGGAAAAACATGGAAACAATGTCTTTGGTGGAGGGGTGAAGGGAGGGCTGGGGAATAGGTAAAATGAGAACCAAGACCTGTCATGTAAAGGTACAAGATCCCACTGATGAATGGAACTGTGCTGTATCCCTAAAATGTACCAGTAAACAATAAAGATGTTTTTAAAAAGGAGAAAGGAAGGGACAAGGAAAAAAAAAGAGTGAAAATAGAAGAAAAAATGCAAGCAAAGCTTTTATACACAAAGAGGGGGGAGGGCTTGTGGGGAGGGAGGTAATGGGATAAAATAAAATTTATTTTTAAAAAAAACCCAAAACAAATTATTCCAGTTGGAAACAGTATTGAGGCTGTTGACACCAATAATTTCAAATTTGCTTACCAAGTACCAAACAAAAGACCAGACCAGGACAAAATTTGCGTGTCAAAATGTGTCAAGTACCAAGTTGGATGAGTTTCAAAGCAGCTGAATTCTAAGTTCTGACTGTACTGAAAAATGATGAACTTGATTATGAGATAAAATACACAAGATGAATCATTCTCTTTTATACCAACGATATTCACAGTAACAAAAACTATTTTTAAAATGCCTAAATATGGCTGGGGATTTAGCTCAGCAGCACTGCAGGCACAAGGTCCTGAGTTAGATCCCTGATACAAAACAAAACAAAACAAAACAAAACAAAAACAAACCCTAAATACAAAATAAGAGGGCCAGGGATTTAGCTCAGTGGTGCTGCTGCCTGCCTAGCAAATGCAAAGTCTCAAGTTTAATCCCCGATAATCCCTCCCCAAAAAGTGAAATTCAAAATAAGAAATTGTTACTTGACAAGATATGAATGAGAAAAAAAATCAGTTTTACTACAGCCTGAAGACCTCTGAATACTGAAGTGAGTCCAGACATCGTTAACTCCAATAAAAACTCTGCTGCTTTTTTCTCCTAGGCTTTTACATTTAAAAGAATAAAAGATCTTGCAAGAAGAGCCTGCAGAATTTTGCAGAAGTTGAAGGACAGTGGTCTTGCTCTGGTTTCTTTCTTTCTTTCCTTTTTCTTTTCAGGACTAGGGATTGCACCCCGAGCCTTCACTGAGCTGCATCTCCAGCTCTTGTTTATTTTTTATTTTGAGACAGGTCTTGCTAAGTCACAGAGCTGCCCAGGCTGGGCTAAAAATTGTGACCTTTCTGCCTCGGCCTCCCAGAGTGCTACGATTACAGGTCTGTGCCACAAGGCCCAGTCACTTGCATCATTTTTTAAAAATTAATTTTTTTGTTTATTAATACATGTGTGCCAAACATAACAATCACATTCTTCACGGGGCATTTGCACCTGTGCATAATATATCCTAATTCTTTTTTCCCCATTTCTATCCCCTCTCTTCAGTGTTTCTTCCCCTTCCCTTTACAAAAGCTCCGTTTCCACTGTCCCCTCAATCACCTCTTTTTAAAAATCCACTTTCCCTTTCCCCTCCCCCATCTCTTGTTCCTCTTCCCATTTGAGCAAGTTCTTCCCACTTCCTAATATATATTCTCCTTTTTGCTCCTAATTTATACTTTGGGTTTCTCACATAAAAGAAATAATGTGATATTTAAACTTATATGTCTGATTTATTTCACTTCAGATTAGTCTCAAGATGCGTCCATTTACCTACAAATGTCTCAAGTTTATCCTTCTTTATGGCAGAGTAGTGCTCCATCGTATATAAACAGCACATTGTCTTTATCCATTCATGTTGGGAGCCATTCTACGTAATTTCGGGGAAAATCATTTCACAATTACATTATAGACAGGGCTGTCTGAGCCCTCAACAGTCCTATGATGCTGTGATGCTCAAGGGCATCAGCTAAAGACATCCTGGGTCTTTGAGAATGGAGCAGAAAGCTTTGTCTCTGGAGCGGGACAAACTCCTTAACCGCTGAACTCATCCCACCTACTGTTGTAAGGTTTTGCTCATCTCTTCGTCCTAATGAATTTAAACTTCTCATTGACCTAAGATCCTCATCGGCATAAGATCCTCAGCTCATAGGGCTACCTCCACCCTCCAAGGCATCTGATACTTCCTCCAATTACAAGATCCCTATCAATTTAGGATGACTGCTGCCCTCTGAGTCATTTGATACTCCCTATGAACCCAGTAAGTGGTGGCAAGCATGGGGTGCTGTTGTCTTTGCTGCCCAGAGCAGCACTGACCAGGCCCAAAGCTCAGCTTCTTCTGTAAGTCTCGTTTCCTGTCTTTCTTCTTTAATTCATTTTGTGCTGTTCTGGCTCACAGGAGACCAGGATCCACTGTAGGAGTTCTGGTGATGTCCCCTTTCCCTGCTCCCTATACATTCATCTGTTGATGGGCAGATAGGCTGTTTCCAAGGTTTAGCTATTATAAATTGAGCTGCTATAAATATGGGTATGATGACTTCAACTCTTTCTGTTTTAATATTTAGATCTTTGATCCATTTCAATTTTAGTGTGGAGCGTGGTGAGAGACACGGGTCTAGGTTTAATCGTCGGCATGTGGAAAGCCAGTTTTTCCAGTATCATTTATTAAAGAGGCTGTCTTTCCTTCAGTGAAGGTGTTTGGCCCCTTTGTCAAAGACAAGGTGGCTGAGGCCAGAAATGTAGCTCAGTGGCGCTGCCCCTGCCTGGTAAGTGCAAGGTCCTGAGTTCGATCCCCAGTACTGGGGAAAAAAGAAAAGATAAGGTGGAGGAGTGGGCTTGGAGTTGTCTCTTCATCTTCTATTCTGGTCCACTGATCCTCAAGTCTATTTTTTTCCAATGTCATGCTGTTTTTTTTTTGTTTTGTTTTGTTTTTAAATCACTGTAGCTTTATAACTTCAAATCAGGGATTATGATGCCCCCTGCCTTGCCCTTGTTGCTCAGGATTGCTTTTGCTATTCCAGGTGTCTTCTGGTTCCATATGAATTTTAGGATTGTTTTCTCTAGATATGTGAGGAATGCTATTGGTATTTTGATTGGGACTACATTAAATTTGTATAACAGTTTTGGATGTATGGCCATTTTCACTCTCTTGGTTCTGCCTACACTTGGCTCATTTTAATGAGTCGCTATACCAGGAGCAATGGGCCGTGTCACAGCTGACTCCGCACTGTTTGCTCTCCTAGAACCCTAGACAGCAGGTGGCTGACCGCCCCCCGAGTCCTTGGAGCCACGCTGGAGGGAGAACAGCGGCTCCTGTGCATGGTAAGGAGGGGTGGATGGTGGGAGCAGGCTTGGGGTTCTCAGTACCCACCTGAGCTGCAAGCTTGTGGGTGCCGCAGATGGGGCAGCTACTCTTGGCACCGAGGAGGTGAAGGTTGCGTGTAGGGAGGAGGGAGTATGACTTCCAGCCCTGGCATCTCTGCGTCACCATCCCCAGCAGCAAACGGGTGGGACCCCGCGCTCCCAGGGAGTCCCAGGAAAACTAAAAGCAGCAGCTGTGCTGCTCCCCTGACAGTCGGCTACCCTCCTTCCCACTCTTCCTTCTTTTTTTAAATTAAATTTTTTGACTTTTTAGAGCACTTTTCAGTTTATAGAGTGTGTTTTTGTTTTTGTTTTTTTATGGAACTGGGGATTGAACCCAAGATCTTACCCGTGCTATATAAGGGCTCTAACACTGAGTTACATCCCCAGTCCTTTAAAATACTTTACATTTTGTTTGAGGTAGGGTCTTGTCAAGTTGCCCAGGCTGGTCTTGAACTTGTGACCATCCACCTCAGCCTCCCAGAATGCTGGGACCGTGCCCAGCTGTTTTATAAACAACTGATGGAGAACTCCAGAGCTCCCACGAACCCACTGCTCGTTGCAGCTGATGGACCTACACTGACGCGGCACCATCCCCCAAAGGCCACAGCTCCCACCAGGGTCCCCCTTGGTGTTGGACACGCTGACGTCTACCATCACAGCACCGCGCCGCCCTACGTATCCTCTGTGCGCCTTCCCAACCCCTAGTGACACTGGCTTTGTCTCTGTCTCCACTTCATCACATCTTTACTTTTTCTAGAATGTCAGCCCGCTGGAATCAGCACTGCTAACCTTTTCCACACTGGCCACTTTCATTTCTCCCTCGGTTTGAGCCAACGGCGCATAACCTCACTCCCATTTCCAGGTTACAAATGAAGACACCAAAGGGCAGAGAGGTGACGCAGCTTGCCCAGGGCCACCTAGCTGGTAAGTGGCAGAGCCAGGGTCTGAGCCCAGGGTTCCAGGTCCTGTCCAGCTGGGCCATGCATCCACATAATTATTCTTAGTGTCTAGGAGCACACAGCCCTCTGACCCCTGCACAGAGATGGGGCCAGACTGGGAAAAGAGGAGCGGAGTTCCTACCCTCTTCCCGGCTCACTCACCTGTCCTGGGCCCTGTCTTCACAGTTCCTGACTGCCATCCGGGATTCCATGAGGAAGCAGGAGGTGCGGATGGGTGGGGAGGGCAGCCAGGCCCATGGCACTGGCTCCCCAGCTGAGCAGGTGAAGGCCCTTGTGGATCTGCTGGCCTGGAAGAGCAGTCAAGGTGGTCAGACCCTGGAGGTCCCTGACAGGACACCCGACTCCCAACTGGGGCCCCACAGCAATGGTAAGCACTACTTGGGAGGCTGACAGAGGGGGAACTGGGGCCCTCTCTCCTGGCTCAACCCTTACCTGCATTCCTCCCGGCCTGTGTTTGCAGACTCAAGGACATGCAGGCACCGAGAAGCCCTGCTGGGCAGAGTGGGAGGCACCCCAGAGCTGGGTGGCCCTGTGCACAGGCTGGCCAGCTTCCTGCTGGTGGAGGGCCTAAGTGATCTGCAGCTGCAGGAGCACGACTTCACACAGGTGGAGGCCACACGTGGAGGCCAGCGCCGTGGTAGGCCAATCACCCTGGACAGGCTCTTCCTGCCTCTGTCCCGGGGGTCCATCCCACCCCGGGTGTCCATCACTGTTGGGGTGGCTGGCATGGGCAAGACCACCCTGGTGAAGCACTTCGTCCACCTCTGGGCCCAAAGGCAGCTCGGCCAGGACTTCTCACTGGTGGTGCCTTTCACCTTCCGGGATCTCAATGCCTATGAAAAGCTGTCTGCAGAGAGACTCTTCTCTGTCATCCCAAATGCTGGGGAAGCCAGCCTGGCAGTGACAGCCCCAGCCAGGGTCCTCCTGGTCCTGGATGGCCTGGATGAATGTAAGATGCCTCTGGACTTCTCCAACACCGTGGCCTGCACAGACCCCAAGAGAGAGATCCAAGTGAATCAGCTGGTCACCAACATTGTCCGGGGCAACCTCTTCCCAGAAGTTTCTGTCTGGATCACCTCCCGTCCTGGAGCAGCTGGTCAGATCCCAGGAGGCCTGGTGGACCGGATGACTGAGATCCGGGGATTTACTGAGGAGGAGATCCAGGGGTGTTTGGAGCAGATGTTCCCCGAGGACCAGACCCTTGTGGGCCAGATCCTGAGCCGGGTGCAGGCTGACAGGGCCCTGTATCTGATGTGCACAGTCCCGGCCTTCTGCAGGCTCACGGGCACGGTGCTGAGCCACTTGCTTCGCAGCAGGCCAGCACCCCAGGACCCAGAGCTTTGGCCTCCACAGACCCTGTGTGAGCTCTACTCATGGTACTTCAGGATGGCTCTCAGCAGGGAGGGGCAGGAGAAGGGCAAGGTGAGCCCCTGGATTGAGCAGGTGACCCATGGCAGCCGCAAGATGGTGGGGACACTGGGCCGGATGGCTTTCCATGGGCTAGTCAAGAAGAAGTTCGTGTTTTATGAGCAAGACATGAAGGCATTTGGTGTGGACCTGGCTCTGCTGCAAGGTGCCCTGTGCCGCTTCTTCCTGCAACAGGAGGACACACTGGTCTCCTCGGTGGCCTACTGCTTCATCCACTTGTCCCTGCAGGAATTTGTGGCAGCTGCATATTACTACAGCGCATCCAAGAGGGCCATCTTTGACCTCTTCACTGAGAGTGGCATGTCCTGGCCCAGGCTGGGCTTCCTCACGCACTTCAGGAGTGCTGCACAGCGGGCCATGCAGGCCGAGGACGGGCGGCTGGACGTGTTCCTGCGCTTCCTCTCCGGTCTCCTGTCGCCCAGGGTCAATGCCCTGCTGGCTGGCTCCCTGCTGACCCAGGGTGAGCACCAGGGCTACCGAGCTCAGGTGGCTGAGCTTCTGCAGGGCTGCCTGCGCCCCAACGTGGCAGTGTGCGCCCGTTCTGTGAACATCCTGTACTGTCTCCAGGAGCTACGGCACACGGAACTGGCCCACAACGTGGCAGAGGCCATGGGGAGCGGTGCCCTGGCCAGTCTCACTGGCCCTTCGCACTGCGCCGCCCTGGCCTACCTCCTGCAAGTGTCAGACACCTGTGTCCAGGAGGCAGACCTGTCCCTGGGCCTTGGCCAGGGTGTCCTCCAGAGCCTGCTACCCCAGCTGCTCTACTGTCAGAGCCTCAGGTGGGCATGGGCCGGGGTGCAAGCTGCGGGGGCAGAGAAGCAGGCAGAGGACCTGGAAGGCTTTCTTGTTCCCTCATACCCCTCTGCATTAGTCTACTGGGGCCGCCATGGCAGTTCCAAAACTGGATGGGGTAACAACACAGCAACTCATTCCCTCACAGTTCTGGAGGCCAGAAACTAAAATCAAGGCCACCAAATCCACTGAGGAAAGTGGTGGTGGGGAGTCCTTCCGGGATCTCTGGATCCTGGGGTTGGCTGGAGACCTTCAACGCTCCTTGAAGGTAGCTGTCTCCTCCCCACCAGTCTCAGCCTCTGCTGTCACCCAGCCTTCTTCTCCCTCTGTTCCCGTCTTTACATGGCACTTGCCTCTCCTCTGAGGACATGATCGTACTGGGCTAAGGCCAGCTCTCTCTGTATGACCTGCTCTTCACTATTACACCAGCAACAGGCCTATTTCCGGATAAGGCTGTGTTCCCCTCACCCCACCCCGCAATCTGGGGATTGAACCCAGGGCCTTTGCACTGAGCTACATTCCCAGCACTTTTTAAATTTTTTTATTTTGAGGCAGTCTGACTAAGTCACTAAGTTGCCTGTGCTGAGCTCAAACTTAAAATCTTTCTTCCTCAACCTCCCAGAGTGTTTGGATTACGGACGTGTGCCACCAGGCGCAGCAAGGCTATGTTCTTTAGGCCCTAGGGGTTAGGACTTCCGTGCATCTTTGGAGGGGGACACAAACCATAACACCTTCTGAGCTGTCCAGGATGACAGAAGCTCACCTCTGACTGCATCCCCAGCCTACACACTGTATACTGCTCTGGTCCTGGGTGGGTTTGAAAGTCCAGGAAGGGTCATTTGGGACCTGACAACAGCCTGTGCACTCTCAGAAGCAGGCCGGCTGGTAAATGGGGTCCTGTAGAGATGTGTAGCACATGGAGTTGGGACAGCAGCTCCCGGCCTCACAGTTCACTCCCGTGGGTAGTCTGAGCATTGCACAGGTCTCTGAGCCACAGCAGTGGGGCTGTGGGTGGACAGGCGGCAGACGGGTCCTGCTGCCCAGGGGCAGTGAGGCTGCTCACTGTCACTACTCTCCCCGGCCAGGCTGGACACCAATCAGTTCCAGGACCCCGTGATGGAGCTGCTGGGCAGCATGCTGAGCGGGAAGGACTGTCGCATCCAGAAGATCAGGTAACACTGACCCCACAGCCTGCCCAAACTACCCACCTGTTCTGCGGGGAATGAGACCTCAGAGCCCCCCGGGAGAGGCGTCTGCAGCAAGTGGCTGGTGACGCGGCCTGCTTGTCTCCACCCATGCTCGAATGTGCCAAGGCTCAGGTATCTCATCTGTGAGAAGAGAGAAACGACTGATGAGGACCAGTCACCGTCACAGACGCAGGAGCACATCTTCCTGCGAGGCCTCAGGCATCGCTTCGCTAAATACCTCTCTGCATTTGCTCTCAAACAGTATTAGGGCACAACATTTGGAAACTTTAATTTGATGCATCTTAATTTTAATTTCAATAAGACAATGTGAAATTACTTTTTGCATTTTAAATTAGAAATTGCATCTTTAGCGTTATAACTGGTAAAGCTCACCTAGATGCTTATGAATCTCTGCTGGAACATCATCTCCAGATCTGAGTAACACCCTGGTTTGTAGCTCAACCGATGTGACGACACGCAGTGGAGAAGCAGAGAGGCGATTCTGGAGAATACGACCCAGGGAGTCATTTCTATCCTCATACAAGCCTCCAGGTTCTGAAAAAATCTTTACCCTCATCGATGACAGTTTTGAATGAGCCAGGAGTGACATAAGTCATTGAGGGCAGTGGTTAGAGTTGCAGCTTTGTGTGACCTTGAACAAGTCACCTCTGTGCTTAAAGGGGATACAAATGAAGTTAAAAGGGTCTCTAACTTTGGAGTTTAGAGTCTGAGGGTCCCTAGGCCACCTTGGGGCTCAACATTTTGCTAGTACTGAGAAACGACTCATTACGCTGAAGGGCAGAGTAAAATCAGGAGAAGCACAAGGCCTGTGGGGCAGGACAGGAAGGGTCGGGCACAAGCTTCCCACATCCTCTCCGTGAAGTCCTGCAGGGGTCCTTCCTGCTCCCTGCAACCACGTGTGACAGTGAACAGGAAGCAGGCCTGGGCTCTGGAGTGTTTCACTGGGGGTCCCTGACCACAAGCCCAGCTGACCTTAACCTGCAGCTCCTTGGAGGGCAAGGTGATTCTGCGTGGCCCGAGACCCCCACCATTCACTACCCTGGGAGGTACACTGTGCAGTGGGTTCTGTCAAGATCCAAGCTCATGAGGCTTGAATGAGTTATTCAATGCCAGGCATAAGCACAAGGGCCGGCTACTATAGCAGGATTACCTTTGCCCTGTTAGCGGAAGGTTTGAAAGAAAAATCTTCGTGACAAGTTTTCATTAATATTTTTCCTTCATGAAAACCTATAATATTTTAAATGCGTGACAAAATAATCAACTTTTAGTTTTGTTTAAAGGAGGCTAGATAATGCCCCCACACTATGCAGAGCAAAGCCATGCACTTCTCCTACATGCTCTTTTCCCCTCTACATTTGGTCCTCATACCACCTTCCCATTGGTAATGGTGTCCTGCAGAAAACACCTGGCTGGTTGTGAAATATCATCCATGTCCTCGGTGACAGAGACTGTCTAGAATCTGAGAACATTTATATAGAAGGTGGGCTGGATGATATTCACACCTTAAGCAATAAGGTGATACAAGCCAGGTGCAATGGTACACACCTATAATCCCAGTACGCTGGGAGTCTGAGGCCGGAGGATCACAAGTTCAAGCCCAGCCTGGGCAACTTAGTGACTCAGTGAGACTCTGTCTCAAAATAAAGAGTATAAAAGGGCTGGGGATGCAGCTCAGTACAAAAGTCCTAGGTTCAATCCCCAATATTAAAAAAAAAAAAGTGATAATGAGCAGAGCCTCAGTAAGAAAACTAGACAAAAGGAAAGATGTTAGGATCCAAAGAGGGGATGTGAGGGCCTCAGAGCCCTGCTCACTTGGTTCCTCCATCCTCCTGTTGGTCCTTGAGGTTTTTGTTTTTGTGTTTGTTTTGAGACAGACTCTTGCTATATAGCCCAGGGTGGCTTTGAACTTCTGGTGGCTCTCCTGCCTCTGCCTCCTGATACATCAGGACTGTAGGCATGTGCTACCATGCCCAGCTCCTGAGGGTTTTTTCTTTTTTTTTGGTTTTACCATACAACACTGAACCTAGAGCCTCTTACATACTCAGCAAGCACTCTACCCTAAGCTACACCCCCAACTCTTTTTATTTTAAGATAGAGCCTCACCAAATAGCTCAGACCAGCCTTGAACTTGTGTTTTTCCTGCCTCAGCCTCCCACATCGCTGGGACTACAGACATGTGTCATTGTACCTGCCTTACCCAGGAAGTTTCCCCTCGGGATCTTGAGGGGCCCTTGGAATGTGGCTTGGAAAATTCCAGTCTGGAGGATTTTAACTGAATAACTGTATCTCCTGTGCTGAATGCCTAGAAAATGATAAAGCAGCCTCAATGGCATCATTTGCAGAAGTGGATACACTAGATGGATTCATTTGCATATTGCTGGACTCACCATTTCAAAGTGAAGAGATGCATTTTTTTTTTTCTGCTTTTTTGGAGACAGGATTTCTCTTATGTAGTTTGAGCTGGCCTTGAACTCATGTAGCCCAAGCAGGCCTCAGACTCACAATGATTCTCCTGACGCAGCCTTCCAAGTGCTGGGATTAAAGGTGTGTACCGTCATGTCTAGCTTCGAGGTCCTTTCTCATTTTTAGCCTCGTTTAAAAATTTTTTTTTTTATTTTTTGGCACTGGGGATTGAACTCGGGCCCTTGTGCATGCAAGGTGGGCAGCAGAACCGCTGAGCTAAATCCCCAGCCCCCCAGCCTCATGGTATGGTACCATCTGCTATTCTTTACATGAGGAAAACTAAGATAAATAGCGTGATGGAACTCTTTTGTTCCAATTTTAGTATCTGTGCTTGCCAAAGCGAGCACTGGAACTCTTCTGTGTAAACTCAAGAGAGCTGACTATTAGATTTTCAGGAATTCGGCAAGCTGGGGCTACTAAAATTGGCCAGGGTCAGAGAATTTACACATGGAAATCAGCAAGTGCTACACTTCAGTTCTCTTTCTTTCTTTGGTTTGTTTTGAGAGCCGTTTGCCATCACACCTTTGGCCTGGGTCCACACTGCCAACATCTGTACTGCGCAATCCCTTCACTGTATATTCGTGGAGTGCTCTGAAGGGTTCTGGCCTTTCAGGACCCTTCGCCAGGAAGAGGATCTGCCAGCCACTATGGCTGTACTTGCCCAGGCTCAGGGGCCTTCCTGTGCCTGGCCTTCTGCTCCGGTCCACCTTGTCTCCAGCCACATGCAGCCTCCGATAACATTGAGGAAACCACGAGTTTAATCGCGGACATAAGGATGAGGCAGCAGTGAGATTCATAAACCCGAAATAACCACCCTCTCCTTTCCCTTGGGCAGCCTGGCTGAGAACCAGATCAGTAACAAAGGGGCCAAAGCCCTTGCCAGATCCCTCCTGGTTAACAGAAGCCTGACTGCTGTGGAGTAAGTAGGACATGAAAGCCCACTGGGATGAGTATTTCGAACCCCTCGTGTGTAGTGACACCCCAGGTTCAGCCCATGGTAGAATCTGGCATGGTACCCTACCCCACGCAGAGCAGGTTCCAAGTCCCTGGGCTCCTTGGTGGACACGTCCTCTTCTAAGGACAGCTGAGTAAGCAAAGTCACGGCCTCCCTGGCCGTTGGGTCTCATTCCAGGAAGCACTGGATTTTCAGCCCTGAACCTGAGCTCAACGTTCTCCTCACTTCCACAACTGTCCCAAGCCTACAGGCCCTCAGGTCCTGCTCCCGCTTCCCCACCGCACAGGGCCACCTTGGGAAACTCCTTCCTTGTTGGCCTATATAAATATCTCTGCCTAGGTCCGCCAAACGTGAAACCCTAAACCCTGACACATGTCCTTCAAGGATCATAAGTTCAGCATCAGTGTAATTCTTGTCCCTCTTCCCCAACCTGGGAGTTGCTTTTCTCCCTTGCTTCCCCCAGCCTCCGCAGTAACACCATCGGACCACAGGGAGCCAAGGCGTTGGCGGATGCTCTGAAGATTAACCGCACTCTGACCTCTCTGAGGTAGGCGTCCCCGGCTCCCTGCCCCACCGCCCCCAGGTGACCCTTGCGTCCTGTACCCGTGGAGTGGGAGGGGATTCACAATGGTGGGCCTGCGATGCCAGGGAGTTTGTATCCTAGGTCGGGTTCGTGTTGAGCTCTTCCCTCCTCTTTAAGCCTCTGCATTTCCCAAGCTGTGACAGCAGACTTGTCCCTTGAAGTACTTTCCGGGACATGGATGAACCCTTCTTCCAGAAGGTGCCGGCCTTCAGTGTAGCTAGCTGTGTCCCCTGTAGGAGCCTGTGGTTACAGCCATCCTTAACTGAGTGGTGCCACTGCTCTGCTCTTGTTTGCTTTCTGTTTATATATTGTTACTGGGTCAAATCCACACCCCTCCACCGGTTTTAACACTTACCATTTTGAATTATACGGCTCACCGGCATTTAGTACACTCCTAACTTTGCGGAACCATCACCTCTGTCTAGTTCTGAAATGTTTTCATCACCTACCTTTAGCTGTTAGCAGTTACTTTGCATGCTTCCCTCCCCCCAGGAACCACCAACCTGCTTCCTGTCTGCATGAATTTACCCATCCTGGACATTGAATACAAATAGAATCACAGAATAAGACCTTTTATATCTATTTCCCTCACTTAACATAATGTTTTCAAGGTTTGTCTGTATTGTAGCATGCATCAGTGCTCCATTCCATTTTTATGGCTGAATAATATTCCTCTGTAAGGTGGATCATGGTTTTATTAATCTGATGATGGACATTTATGCTGTTCCCACCTTTTGGCTGTTGTGAGTACGTGTTGGCTATTGTGTATAAGTATTCCAACACCCATTTGCAGTTCTCTGGGGTGTATGCCTAGGAGTAGAATTGCTTTTGCAGTACTGCAAACTATTTTCTATAGAGGCAGAACCACTTACATTCCCACGAGCAGTGTTAAGAATTCTAGTTTCTCCACATCCTAGCCAACACCTGGGCAATGTGACTTTTAGCTATAATGAGGACTGTGGCTGACCTTGTCATATTGTTTGATCCACACAGCCTGCTAGGGACTTAGAGACCCAGGGCGGGATGGGCCAACTGTCTTTCCTGTGTGGTGGGCAGTGAAGAGGGCACATGATGGCCAGTGCCTCTTCTCCCTGAGGTCACCTGCTGCCCCACCTGTGCCCCAAGGCATCTTGCACCGTGGAGGTGCCCCCCAAGGTAGGAGTTTGGGCTACTCTGGGTATTCTCTCCTCCACTGATGACACATCCTTTTCTCCTCCACAGCCTCCAGGGCAACACGATTAAGGACGATGGTGCCTGGTCCATGGCTGAGGCCTTGGCCGCCAACCAGATGCTCTGTGTGCTGCAGTAAGCAGATGCACCTCTTTCCCTCCCCTCTATCTCCTGTTTGGCTTCTGCCTTTCCTGCAAGGGGGAATGAATGGAGTAATCCTGAAGCTTTCTGGCCTGAAAAACTTGATGCTCACTGTTTTTCCTGAGAATAGGTGTGGCGAAATTGCCAAAAATAAAACCTCTTGCCAACCCAGAAAATCTCAACCGTAGGAAAGAACAGTTTTAGTATCAAATTAATATTAAAGTGAATGCAGTCTCAGGCAACCCACCAATGATACTGCAAAGACACAAAAATGTCCCCCTTTTCTATTTCCCAACAGACAACCCAATCCATACATGTTCTCAAGGTAAATAGTGCAATAACTTGTCCTCTAAGGGACCTGATGTCACACATAGCTTATTTTGTGTTTCCAAATTGCTTTTATCCAAAGGGGGGAAAAATAAACCTTACAAGCAGGTGCTTCACAACTTAGAGCCGGGCACCCAAGGCTAATTCCCACAGTGCAGGGAGGCAGGGCCCAACCTTGCTTGGTGTTTACCTTTGAAGAGAGGGTGTCAAGGCCCTTAGAAAGATCGCAATAAAGATCCCACATCCCAGGATGGTGACACTGGCAGGAGGCCAAATGAACTCTTAAAGAGACTTAAATATATCTCAGCGGGATAAAGAGAGGATTTACGATCTCAATTTGCTTCAAGGAAAAAGTTTAAGGAGGAGAAGTTCTCTTTCCTTTTTGGAAGATTACATTTGTCTTAAGGCTGGTATTTAGCCTTACACAGGCAAGACACTGCCCCTATGTCCTCCAGTAACTTCCCCCAGAGAGGATTCTCAAGGTGGGAGGCAGGCTGCTGGCTGGGCTGGATGAGGGTGGACTGTCTGGTGAGGGTCCAGCAGGACTGGAGCATGGAAGTTCTCACTTGGGAGGTTGCTCGTTTCTGCTTTCTGGTTTCTCCCTTAGAAGGGAGGCCAGAGCTGCCCTTGTCCCTCATCCTCCACTATAACTCCAGCACTGGATCTTTGGCAAGACCCTTTCCCACTGCTAAGACAGACAGGGCATCCTACTTGTCTGTGACCTCTCCCTCTAAACCCAGGCTGTCCTTGGCCTGGGAATGGTTATAGCCAGCTGTACTGATGGACCCCTCTCGTCTCCCACAGCCTGCAGAAGAATAACATTGGGCCTCTGGGAGCCCAGAAGATGGCAGAAGCCCTGAAGCAGAACAAGAGTCTGAAGGAGCTCATGTGAGAAATGCAGAAGGGCCAAATTGGTATTCTCAAAGCCCAGCACATCTTACCTATTTGTAAGCATGGGATTGGATGAATGGATGGTAGGGTAGGTAAATGGATGACTGGATGGATAGTTGAGTGGATGAGTGGATGGATGGATGGATGGGTGGGTGGGTGGATGGATGAAGACATCAGTGGTGAATGGATGGAAAGGGGAGATGGTTGGATGGATGAGTTATCAGTGGAGACAGAAGGATGGATGTGTGGGAGTAGGGTAGCTGGTTTAAGACTCCAAAGCACTGGACTGGAAGAATGGAGACCCAGATTTCCAGGACTGTGTGTACCCCAACCTTCTCAGGCTCACACTTAACTGCCTTCCCAGCTGGCAAAATGAAACAGCATTCCTTGATTATCTTCAGATAAAGAACCACAAACACATCTCAGCGTGGGTTGACCCCACCCTCTGCCATTGCCAAGTAGTCAAGGGGGACTTTGCTACCTTGATCTCTTACAGGTAGAGTGTGGTTATTTGCAGAAATTACAGATCAACAAGACTCAGGCAGAGCAAACCGCACTGGCCCTCTTGAGACAACAGAGACAGCTTCCCCTGAGCTGAGCCCTGACTCCTAGGCCTGGCTCCACCTGACTGTTCCAAGAGATCGACTCAGCAGCATCTGTCTCTTGCAGGTTGTCCAGTAACAGTATTGGCGATGGAGGTGCCAAGGCCATGGCTGAGGCGCTGAAGGTGAACCAGGGCCTGTTGAGCCTGGAGTGAGTCTGCCTGACCTCCCTCCATGGGTGACAATCATCCCTAGGGTCTCTATCCAGCAGACGGTGGAATGTTATTTCTGGAGGAGGACTGCCAAACCCAGACCTGGGAATACTCTGGTCTCCATCTCTGCCCTCAATCCACCCTTTCCCCACACCACCAGTCCCATTTCTCTGCACAGTAGGGGTTGGGGTTGAGTACAGAGTTTTCAGAATGATGAGCCCTGTGCCTTATGGTAAGTGAGCACAGGTGGCTGAAGAGGGAGTCAGCTGTGCCAGCGTTGGTGAGGTAGAGCTGCCACACTGGGGTGACTCTGCTGCACCAGCAAGCCCTCCTCTGAGGACATTTGGAGCCACCCAGGTCAAGGTAGAGTCCAAACCTTGGGGTTTGTGCTAATGCAACTGCTGCAATATGGCAGGGGCTAGAAGATGGGGTGGTAGGAGGTGAAGGAGGATGAGAAGGGCAGATCCTAGGTTCCCCCAAACCCTTAAAGAACCCAGTGGCCGTGGTTCCAGGCTGGACTAGGCAGTTTGTTACCTCCGGGTCCTGGGACTCCATATGAAAGGTGCCCCATCCTCTGTCTGCAGCTTGCAGAGCAATTCCATCAGTGATACGGGAGTGGCAGCACTGATGGGGGCCCTCTGTGCCAACCATACCCTCCTCAGCCTCAAGTAAGTCCACCCAGGCATCCCTCTGACCAGTGAGTCTGGGGCTGGGAAATCAGCTGTGGGATATGTATGGTTGGGCAGGCTTGGTTCTGGAACTGGGCACCCTGTCCCTCTTCCTGTGGCCCCTCAGGGCTGCTCTACTGTTCCTTCCTATGTGTAAGCTCACCTGCCCTTCACACCTCCAAAGTCCTGCCGCCCTGTCCTCTTCTTTCTGGACATCCCTGAACTGTTGACAGTCCTGCTGCCAGCCATCAGATCCTTGGCTTGCTAGCTTGAGCACCTTCACATCTCAGCCCAGATTTCTCAGGAGGTCCAGGGCCTACCTGAGGCTTCTGGGGCTTCAAAAAGCCTGAATACCTGGGCTTGTCTCCCGCCAGAGTCCTCACCCACCCAGCTGGATACTCAGTCCTCTCTCTCTCTCTCTCTTCAGTCTGCAGGAAAACTCCATCAGCCCTGAGGGAGCCCACGCCATGGCCCATGCTCTCAGCAGCAACAGCACCCTGAAGCACCTGGAGTACGTGGAGGGCCAGGGAGGGTCAGCATTTTGTTTCCTCTGGGCCATTTATGCCCACCCAGAGCCCAGGATCGATGGGCTCTGGACATAATTGGCCAGGCCCTCAGTGCCTTGGCCATTTCACAAGGTGGGAAAAGGGCCTGGGTGGAGAGAGGACGGCAAGAGGACCTGGTGTCTAGTGATAACTCTGGCACAAGCCCCCCCACTGTGGTATAAATCACACATGGATGAGGACAGTGTGACATTGTACCTGTCTTACCCATGGGGAGTAACCAGCAAACTCGTGGGCAGGGATTCAGAAAGGTTGATGGGGGCCATGTCAATGGGCCGTGAACCCCTGGCCGTGTGACCTGTCACCAAACCCAAGTTGATTTTGTCAAGATTTGCTTGGGCTCAGACACACAGCTTCGCTATAGATGAAAACCAGACAATAATATCCACGAAGGCATTGATCCTCAGGAGAGGGGGAGTGGTTTGGATTTCCTGGTGACCAAGGACAGGTGGCTTCCTGCTTACTTGTTTCATGTCCCTTCATCCCAGCCTGACAGCCAACCTCCTCCATGACCAGGGTGCCCAGGCCATCGCAGTGGCGATGGGAGAAAACCGTGCCCTCAAGTCCCTTCAGTGAGTCTACGATCCCTCCCCTCACACACCCCTTCCAGCGCCTATCTTTGCGGGACCCCTCTCTGAGACCTCAGGGGCCTTCCCAGGCTGCCAGGCTTTAGGAAGCGGTGCCCCCTCCTGAGTCCTGATTCCTGAGGCGGACCCTTGGACAGACCAAGTTGGGAGGGGGGTGCCATGGCTGGGCCTGGGATGACTCAGACTGTGTGGAGTCTGTGAGCTTGTCCCTGCGGCCACCGCCAATGCAACACACAAGGACCATCTGGGGTCCTGAGGGACCTGAGCCTGAGGGCGGCTGCAGGGATCCTCCCACCGTACCCTGCAGAGACTCACCTGGCATCAGCCCACTCTGGAAGGTCCTTGACTCTGTCCCTGGGCTGCACGGTCACGTGTCTGTGTCTCCCCAGCTTGCAGTGGAACTTCATCCAGGTGGGCGCTGCCAGGGCCCTGGGACAAGCACTCCAGCTCAACAGAAGCTTGGCCAGCTTGGAGTAAGTGCACTCAGCGGGGCGTCTGGGAAGGGCCAAGGGAAGCGTAAAACTCAGAGTCCCAGGCACCTCGGTGGCATACCGCCTCCTCTGCCATAAGAGCGGAATATATATTCAACAGTTGGCTTTACTGAAAATCCACATACCGTAAAATCCGCCTATTTAAAATGTGTATTTCACTGTTTTCCAGGACAATGTACATTCAGAATTATACAACGAGTACCATAATCAATTTTAGAACATTTCCATCACCCCTAAAAAGATCATCAGTCATCACTTTTCATTTTCTTCTCCCTATATCGCTGGACACCATTAATCTATTTTGTCTCCATGGATTTTCCTATTCTGGATATTTCACATGAATCAAATCATCTAACACGTGGTCTTCTGTGGCCTATGTATTATGTGTGTGTGCAGGGGACTGAACCCATGGCCTTGATGCTCCCTCCTAAGCTACACCCCAAGCACTTTTATTTAGTGTGTTTTTCAGGCTCACCCATGTTGTACTGTACATCAATACTTCTTTCTTTTCATGGCTGAAAACTGTCCCACTGTGTGGATAAACACACATTTTATTTATCCATTTGTCAGTTGATGGACGTTTGGGTTGGGCTTCCGCTGACTTTGGCTGTTGTGAATATCACCGTTAACATTTGTGCAAAGGTCTCTGTGTGGATATGTGCTTCATTTCGCTGAGGTATGAACTGGGGAGCAAGGCTGCTGGGTCAGCTGGTAACTCGATGCTTAACTTTTTGAGCCTCATCCTCCCCCTCTGGCTGGTCCTCTTCATTCTTTTCTCCCCATCCACTCTTAAGATACTTGTGCTCCCCAGGGTTGTGGCCTAGGCCCTCTTTCCTTTAATGACATCCTTTTTCCGGATGTCATTTCCTCCTCTTCCAGGGCACCAGCAACCCAGTCCTGAGTGCCCATATCTCAGCTGCCTCTCTTGCACTCCACACACCCTCCCAGCATCCCCCAGGTACTGCAGGTTGCCGTATGCTCCCCTCCACAAGCCTGCTTCTTGGTCTTCCATCCCTTTTGCAACTGCCAGCTGTGTGGGACAGAGGCACTACCTGTGCTCCCGGCCCGTCGCCACGTCCTGCAAGTCTCCCTCCTACCCGCTTGTTTCTCTCAACGGCCACATCCAGCTCAGCACCACTCACTGCCTCAGCGGGTAACCACTCCCTCAGGCTACCTCCTCATATTGCTGGCCAGAGATCTTTCCAAGTCACGTGTGTGCCCCTATCCTGGGCGGGGTCCGTACAGGGCTGCCCAGCACACGCAGAGTGGAGCATAACCTGCCGTGTGGCTTAGAAGACCCCTACAGATTTGCTTCCTTCTAACTCCCAGGCCTTGTTTTTTCACCAGCCCAGGATATCAGCTCAATCTCTCTGGGTCTCTGAGATGTGCCAGACCCTCCTCATTTCTCTCCCCCTGCAAAGATCTGCTTCTTCTGGGCGCCACCCTTGACCTATCATAGCTGCCTACACGACTGTCTTCTCATCTGAGTTCCAACAGGGCAGAACTGTGGCTGCTGCCTTGCACACTCCAATGTCAAGTGATGGGTGCAACTGCTTCCTAACAGGCCAGTGTCCACTTCACCTAAACTCCATTTACAGGTCCAGGGCCTGCAATTTCCCTCCGATTAGGAAGGGAGGGAAAAGATACTTTAACAAACATTAACCAGCAAGAATGGCCCAGAGACTGAGGACTTCAAGTTCATTTCTGGTTAACATATACACTTTTGCGGCCCAGACACTTGTTGACAGTACTGCCACAGGTTCCTTTTCTTGATTGCCTCTGACGGTTCACCCAGACTCATGTAGCTTCCAGACCCCTTGGCATATAAAGTAAGAGGCCAGGGCTACATGGCCACACAGCAGAGCATGATCTCTGGGGCTCCGGTGTGTGGTTTGAATTAAATCTGAAGGCCCAAGCCCAGTGTCCTCGCTGGGGTGCTGGCCTATGCCTCCTGTGCCTGAAGGGGTCACATTCTTGTTCAGCTTACAGGAGAACGCCATCGGGGATGAAGGAGCCTCTGCACTGGCCACTGCACTGAAGGCAAACACAGCCCTCACTGCTCTCTAGTAAGTCCCTGAGGGGTGCGGGGTCCAGAAGGCCAGCGCCTTCCCCATCCTCTCACGCCACGTGCCATTTTTACCAGTCAAGGAAGCAACTGGGGAGTCAAACTTGTCTAGGAAGAACTCGGGGTACAGTGAGCATTCCCACCAGTTCAAGAGGCTACCTCTGCTTCCCAACCCCAGCGGCCAGGTCTCTGTCTTAGGCGTTATTGGGAGGTGCCTTCCAGCTCCAGCCAAGGGGTGGAGAGTAGGGAGGGAGGCTGGGCCGGGGCTGACCTGAGGGCAGTGGGTCCCACCTGCCTTCACTGAGCCCAACTCCTCTTGTAGCCTGCAGGCAGCCTCCATTGGTGCCCCGGGGGCTCTGGCGCTGGGGGAGGCCCTGGCTGTGAACAGAACCCTGGAGATTCTCGAGTGAGTATTGCACTCTCCAGTGACAGTCTTTGCCCCCCAAAACCAAGCTACTGATCCAAAAGAAGTAGATATGGGGAAGATACTTGTTCACACAGAAACTCACAGGCCAGTTTCATGATTCTCACTTCAGGTCGGTGTACCCCAGCTTCCCCATTCCCAAGTCATGTCTTTTCCCCAAGTCACTAACACTTGTCTGATCTCTGGGATGGCCCTACCTTGACTGTACATGTCTAGGAGCCTTACCTAGGGACAGCCAACTGCTGCAGATTATCTGTGAGAAGGTCCAACTCCTGGGGTGGGAGTCAAGCTCTGCGAGGCCCTCTGGCATGTCCATCACCCCTGCTCTGGTGAGAGCTGGGATGCTGAGTGCCCTGGCTACCTGCTGGGCAGTGCTGCCTCTCCCAGCCCAGCCCTTCTTTCTCTGGAATGGAAAAGGTGGATGAGGGCACCCAGGCCAGGCCAGTCTCACTGCTGCCTGTTTGTCCCGCTCCCAAGGAGCTCAGCTCTGTTCTGTGGCCTGGGAGTGAGGAAGTGACCCTTACCTCCTGTATGACTGCGGACCAAGGGCATCGTTATCACTTCTGAGCTCATTCCTGTGCCTTACGTTTCCTGTTTTCTATGGCAGCTTACGAGGAAATGCCATCGGGGTGACCGGAGCTAAGGCCTTGGCAAATGCTCTGAAGGTGAACTCTAGTCTCCGGAGACTCAGGTAAGTGGCTGTCCAGAACTACTTACATCCTGTGGGATAAAATGGTGAGGATCTCCTCCTTCTGTTCTTTCTTGATGAGAAGAGTTGAACTATTCTGATTATTACAGTCCACATCCGTTGCAGTTGGGTTTGTTCAAACTGCGCCAGTCATTTGAGAACTGGTTCAAATTGGGTGTGGTGGTAGCACATGCCTGTAGTCCCAGCCCTGTGGGTGTTGAGGCAGAACTGCAAATTTAAACCCAGCCTGGGTAATTTAATGACTAGCAAGACTCTGACTCAAAAACAAATTTTCAGTGTGAAGTCCCTAGGATCAATCCCTAATATCAGGGGGTGTGGGGGGGGTGGGAAAACTCAACCAACAAACTAAGCAAGCAAAAAACTGCATACATGGTTAGGGCAATTTAGCTACTTGTAGATACCCATCTCAGGGGTCAGATGGCACCACTTAGCAGTTGCTATGGTACCTGTGATCAAATTAACCCTAGAACTGCTTGCTCCCTCTGCTGCCCCATAAGATAATGCAGTTGTCCCTCCTTGAGTGTTTCTTCTGTCCTGATGGCTCACCACGGTGTCTCCAACTCTACTCTTCCTAGTCTTCAAGAGAACTCCTTGGGAATGGATGGAGTGATATGCATTGCCATGGCTCTGTCTGGGAACCACGGGCTACAGCACATCAAGTGAGTAGCTCAGCGGCATTCACGCTTTCTGGTCACTCTTGCTCCCCCTCAGAGGTCAGGCTGTCTTTAGCCCAGACCTGGGAGCCAGCTGACACCCATGCCCCCCAGCAGCTCTACAGGGCGACTCAGTGTAAGAGAAAGCCCATGGGAGCCACGTCTAAGGGCAGGATCCTGAAAGAACAAAGGTTCTACGGAGTCTGCATTTATTACACTGATTATTAACTCTACTAAGAGAAACTGCCCTAACCCTAACCCTTGTCTTCTAGTCTCCAGGGAAATCACATTGGGGAATCCGGAGCTAGAATGATCTTAGAGGCTATCAAGACAAATGCTCCGATATGCACTGTGGAAATGTGAGAAAAGCGAGTTCCCAGTGGACAGGGCAGGACAGGCAGACTCAGCTGGAAGCTTTTGAAAAGACAGTGTGCTCCCCAGGTGCCTCCTGAGACCTGGGAATGCTGCTGACGCAGGAAAAGAGCAAGTGCATGGAGAAAGGAAAGACGCTGTCAAGAGGTTCTGGGCACTGCTCCTGCCCAGGGTCAGTCCCAGCAGGGACATATGGACACTCTCCTGTTACACAGAGAAAGGAAGTAGCTGCTGCCAAGACTCAGGACAAAAGTCACAGTGCAGGAAGCTGTTCCAGCTTATACCTTGTGGTTTTGTGTCCCAATGAAAATGACCACCACCACCCTGTATCACCGAGTTGCCACCCCCTTGATTATCGTCACCCCTTTCTCTGAAATAAGCCGCCATTTTCAAGCCCATGAAGAGCTTCAGCCTGGCAGGGGTGAGAGTGGAGGCCCTTCTCCCTTTTCTCCAGAAGGTTTTAGGGTATGATCCTTAGAGACCTACGGAAAAACTATGGGAAATTTGTGAAGATAAATGAAGGGCTTAAGTCTAATACCCTGGAGACACAGGCAAGTCTCCAAAAGTGGCCACTTTTCATTCATTATAAGCTCTCTAAGATATGCGTGCTGTCAGCTGTGTGATCTGGATCCTGGCACGCTGGTTATCAAGAGCACATAAAATGTTAACGCGTAATGTTATCCTGTGA